GGTCCCTGGGCCCCGCTCAGCTGCAGACCCTGACCCTCAGCCCTGGCTCTTTCCCACCTGCTCCTACCACAGCCAGCAGCCCTGGAGCACTGCAGTGTTCCCTGCCCTGGGAGAGGCACTCTCACAAAGCAGACAAGGCATCAGGTTTATGCAGGAGAGCCAGCCTGCATCCCACATCCCCCACCTCCCCGATGGCATTAGGTTCTCCAGTCACTGCAGCACATCCCTCCCTCCTGCGCCCAGCACCTTTGGTGGGGAGAACTGGGACAGCTCTCCCCATCGGGCTGGCCCCGTTCTTCATGTTTGTTAGGACCAAAACTAGGGCAGCAGCCTCGTGGGGCCCGGGCACCAGCCCTGCCCTCCCGAGAGCTCCCGCCGGCGGCCACTCGTTACTGCCGATTTTTTAATTCTAGCCATAGGAGTTAACAGCTCCCAACACTTCCCACCCAATTTAAGCTTCCGCAACTTATTACTATTAATGGATTCTTATACTTAATTAATGCCCACAGGATCTAGTTAAGACTATACAAAAATTCTTAATTAAGCATGCAGAGAGTTGTCTTTGGGACGGCAATTTCAAGCTTGTGTATACTGAGCTAGTAAATTCTAAAAATTAAGCTCATGTTACCTTATCATATGAACTCAGAAATTTGGATCTGCAATGTTCACTGCCAATGTTAAAACCAGTCTCAGGAGGCTCTCAGGATATAGCTTAGAGAACCATGTTGTGGAGGAAATACTCTTTGACTTGCTTAAGGTTTGCTAGTGTTGTCAATTCATCAAGTTGATTTATATTTCTCGTTTTCCCCAGCTTTCCCAAACTGTCTCCTCTTTGTCTTTTTTCATGGCGTGCTGAATGATGTAATTCTGGGAGTGTTCTCTATTTGTGAGTGTCAATAGCTAGGAAGATTGATCTCTTAAGCATAAAAACCTCCTGTGGTTATGGTCTCTTCTTGCACTTTACTTTGGTAGTCAGAAAGAATTCATTTTAAATTGACCATAAATACTAAGGCTGAACTAGAAATTCACAATGTTAGAATTTTTATATATATATATTCCAAATATGTAATAATAGTTCATTCTAGTCAAAACAAGGAAAAATAAATAAAATTTTCAAGATGACCTACAACATTTTTTATTTGAATTTCTCATTCATGGTGATGCTGTGATAAAACTAAAAAGCATGCTAAAATGTCCTTTTCTCTATATTGCCTTGTATAGTAATCCACTTGCAGAAAGTTTGTTAATTTATTTTCTTACCTATTTTTGTTTCATGCTGGGAAATTTTAAACAAGATGTATGGTACTGTCTAAAGTTCCAAATTTAATAAATAAGTGTCAGGTAGGATCAGTTTCAAAGGCAGCTGTATTATCATAGAATCATAGAATCATAGAATCATAGAATATCCTGAGTTGGAAGGGACCCTTAAGGATCATCAAGTCCAACTCTTGACACCGCACAGGTCTACCCAAAAGTTCAGACCATGTGACTAAGTGCACAGTCCAATCTCTTCTTAAATTCAGACAGGCTCGGTGCAGTGACCACTTCCCTGGGGAGCCTGTTCCAGTGTGCAACCACCCTCTCTGTGAAGAACCCCCTCCTGATGTCAAGCCTAAATACAGAGTCCTTAAATTCATACGATTCAAATGGCTTGAATTTCCTATATTATTCATCCAATATTTTCTGGGACTCATCTTTACCATCCCTACACAAGTTAATATCTGTAAGTTCTCTCTTTGAGAAGCCTGTCCACACTCTTGAACTACTGTTCAAACAAATGAATCGTTTGGTTGGCATCAAAGACAAAGTAATATATGCACTTTATCAATCCCCAGCTTCCATGGATCCTATACATGTACATTTTTCCATGTGCCACAGATGTCCCAGAGTTGTGTTCTCTTACCTGTCATCTACTTGAAGGATGCCACCATTGTTACAATACAGAATTAACCTTGATATTACTAACTAAAATAGGTTCTAAATCCTTTAGGTACTGAGCCCAAGTATCTCTATATGCCTTGTATCTCATACAGAGGACGGAGACTTCCATGCTATTCTATATTGGTAAACTGTAAATTCAATTACTATGTTCTTCCTTGGTATGCGTCAACTCTCCAAACTGTAATTCTGACTGACTCATGATTGATCAGACTGATAGATTTCAAAATAAAAGAGACTTTTTTTTTTTTAATAAGAAGTTGAGAAAAAAAGGATGCATTTTTGATTTTTAAATTGGTAATATTTAACGTTAGCTGTGATTTATACAACAAGCTTATTGTGAGCTTTGTGCAGTTTTTAATCAGTCACCTCAAAACACCTTTAACATTATTATGTGAAATTTGGATCACTGCTTTTCCTGTTGTTTCCTGCAGAAGTGGCACAAGAGCAGAACACGTCAGATCCAGAAAACAGATTTCACATGACTATTGCCTTTTTAGAACATTTTAAGCTTTATTAGCAAAATGCTTTCAACTTTGAATTAAGTGATGGAGCTTATTGGCATTACAAAAGTTTTCAAAACCGCTGTTTTCATTTCCAAGAAGAAAAATCTTAATACCAAAAACATTTCTGTTTCCAACTACAACACTATCTGGCATAAATGGATATCATAACCATAACTCCCTGCTCTTAGTGAGTGTGAAAGGTTCTCTCTTCCCCTCTTCCACAGTAAGAAGAGAAGAATGCAGTGGAAGGATCAGTTTTATACTCAGCAGAACACAATGTATGTGTTTTTAGGCAAGTTGCTCAAGACTACATCCGAAAAAGGCAGTAGGCAACACTTACAGTGCATAACAACAGGATCCAGTCTCCTCTTACATGTATAATGCAGGTGGAGGGCTGCATGTCTTAGGAAGCAATCCAAAATAACTGGAGAGCTGTCTAAATCTAGCTAACAGAGAGGTCTGAATTATCTCTGAGAACAGTAACTGGACCAAGCGCTTGTGAGGCACAATTTCCTACGTCCTGCTGAGACAGAAAGCTTTGGGCAGGTGCAGAAGCACAAAGCTCAATGTCCAGGGAAGTTAGTCAGAACCCCTCCCAAACACTTCAAACACACATTTCTCAAATTTCAGTATATTCAGCATCAGGTGGCAGCTGACAAGGCTTTTAAAAGGACCAAAATTTTTGATTTGTATGCTTAAAGGTTTTGTCTGTCTCCCACGTTATGCATTACAGCTAGCTCAGCAATCCTGAAGCACTGCCCTCTACAAGCTAATTTCTCAGTTTACCTCAGTTATGTCTGCGTTACGCTGTAATGTGCAGAGCAGGTGTGTGCTAAATCCTTTATGGACCTGGCACTAAACCTTTCTGTATTCAATTCCTCTATCTGTAAAACAGGAGCAAGATTTATCTACCCTACAGGAATATCATGGGAATAAATACATATATGTTTTCTGACATCTTCACAGACACAGGCATTGTAGAACTAGCTGGAAGGACAGCACTGCTATACAAGGACTAAACGGTGGTCCTTCCAATTCAGTGATTTATAAGAAAATTAAAAAACACCTCTGAGGGAAGAAAAATAATCAGGTATATGCAGTCTTTCTAGAGCATCATTTGAATTCCAGTTTAGACCTTTCAGCTGTCAAAGGCATTACACATAATTACGCTGTAGCTGGTATTAAGAATTAGTAGTTTATCGTAGCTCAAAGTAAGCAACATAATGAATACAGAAACACTTTTAACATTTTTTTTTTTGTTTTTCTTTTTTTTTTAATTATTTTTCAGATAGTAGGGCACATTTACTGATGGAGCTAGGGGATTGATTTGATCATGGAGTCTGATGCCTTTTCTAGAAGAGCTCTTGTCAGAGATGAAAGTGAACAAGAAACAAGTAAGTTTCTAGTGATGCTTTCTGAAATAAATAAACAAACAAACAAATAAATAAATCCATTTGATATATCTAAGGTTAAAACATTTTTGGACACCCTTTTACTTTGTATTGCTCTGGAAGTGGAGTTCCAATTATTTCTTTTGCTGTGCTGAAATCAAGAGCTTACTTTACTGCAAAACCCTCCATCCACATAGTCTGTGGTCTGCACAAGTTACAGAGACGAAGGATAAAGAGGAGACAGAGGTGGCCTAATGCAGTATAACACAGCCTGTGTGTCACCAGCAGAGCTCTGCCTGCAACCTATCTCAGGGCTTCTCTGACTCAGCACCTGAAATTGTCATCTTGGTGGTTTTTAAAACAGCATGCGGCTTGAGGAATGAACAGAAGTCCACCATTCATCGTCTTCTCCAAAACCAGCCCAGGGAGCATGAAACAAACTAGTAGCTAATAAGCTTAAAGCAAACAAAAGCAGGTGCCTCCTCCTGCAGCGTGTGTTTAAATTGTAAAGATTTGTGCCACCTGAACTGTTTGTTGAAAGCGTCTACAGATTAAAAAATAAGGCAAATTTATTTACAGACAGTAATGGCATCTGATTCAGGATGTCCCATGCTAACATTTGCTGAGACCAGGGGAGCACTGCTTTACATTTGTCCTGTCCTGTATTTTTCCATAGCATCAGCCTTGGACATTGCAAGAAACAAGACACCGGGCGGGGTGGGCCTTCAATCTAGCTCAGTATGGCTTTGTATTGAGCTTGTGGGACATCAGGATTGGTGACATCTGGGGCTGACCCATGGATTTTGGTGCCTTGATGAGGAGGCCTCGGTGAGCTGCTCACTCCATTCGCCTGGCGGGCCTGCATGGAAGCCGTGTTAACAGTGGTCAGGGCAAGCAGTTTTTCAGAGTTTCTCGCTGTTTCTGTGAGACACAGCACCTCTGCTAAACACAGGGGAACACACGGCCCTGGGGAGCACACAGCCAAATGGCGGAGGGGAAGAAAAAAAAAAACACCAAAACCACAAGAGGCCAAGCGCCAGCTTTTTATTTACTCTCTGCCCAGAACGGCTCTTTGGGGGATCGCCCTACAGCCTCCTCCCGACCCTTGGTGCTAGGCTCGGGCAGGCAGCAACCCCCCAGCGCCGTCCCTCAGGTGGGGTCCCGCTGGCGGCCGCCCCCTCGCCCCGCCCGGCCTCGCCCCGCCGCGGGCGGCCGCCGCCATCGCCGCCAATGAGGGCCGGGGCCGTCACGGCGCCGCGTCACGGGGCGGCCGCCAAGATGGCGAAGGTCTCGGAGATGTACGACGTGACCTGGGAAGGTACCGCCGCGGACCGGGAGCCGGGGGCGGGCGGCTCGGGAGGCCGGGGCGGCTCTGGCAGGGGGCCTGGCGGCTGGAGGAGGATCTCGGCAGCCCGCGGGGGGCCGGCTTGGAGCACGGCAGCACCCGGGGGGGAGCCGCGAGGGGCCGGGGTGTCCCCGCGGGACGTGCTGGCCCCGGTGGCCGGGGACGCCTGAGGGGGTCGCGGGTCCCCCCTGTGCTTGAAGGACTCCCCGCTCCCCTGGGGGCAGCGCTGCTGCTCCCCCGTTGTGCTCCTGTGAGAAAATAAACAGCAACTGAACCGGGTCAGCAGTTGGTGTCAGCTCGCTTTTTTTGTTTTTTTTGAGCTCTAACCAAGTTTAATTACTCGCTCAGGTCTGTGTTTAAGCTCTGCTGGCCCAGGGCGCTGCAGATCCCAGCAGGATACCGGCCGGGCTGTTGGTGGTGCCACCAGAGGCACAGGTCGCTGGATCCAGGCCCTGCTGGCTGCTGCCACCATCTCGTCCCAAGATACGTTCCTCACCACTCACGTTATTCAGAAATTATATAAACACCAGCTAAACTTTATGTCCCTACCACATTTTAAGCTATGCTTCATGGCCATTATCAGTTTGGTAAGAGCAGTTCAGGAAAAATTAATTTTCTTCCTGGTAGTCAAGCTACACATGGGCTTCTGACGGTGCTTTGTCCAGAGCCCCTCCACAAGGAGCTGCAGCTCTGAACCACTGCAGCATCAGCTCAGGTTGTTCTTGCAAGGTTCTTGGTGGATGTGGCCACTGTTGGCCAGAAACTGATCTTTTTTCTCATTTGCTCTTCCCTTGTATGTGCGGGTGGAAAGCCCGGGGTTCAGTTTGAAAGGAAAGGCTTCTCTGTTTCTTCCATTGCCCCAAACACATTGGGATAAAGTATGTCAATACCTGATCAATTTGCTGTTGTACATATGGTCGACCCTTTTTCTTTTAGTCAAAGCCTCAAAAGCGATAAATTAGTTTAGGTCAAGGTTTAGGATAAAACAGCAAGTATCTTCCAATCCAAGAAAACCGCTATTGACTTGAATGCCTGAAAATTATCTCATATTTTGCTAGATCTTGAAGGCAAACATCAAGGTTTTGAAAAGCCTGCTTCACAGATTTTTATAGCTCTGATATCCATTTGATCATAATGATTTTTTATAGCAGTAGTTACTGTGGTTTACCTTAAATTGTGAGTGGCTCATCTCATAAGCAGCACATGTTCAAATGCAAGTCCCTATAGCACTGGACCCCATTAGTCTCCCATCAGGAACAAGTTAATCCTTCTATACAGTTTTGTCCATAAAGGAATAACCTTTAGCTAGATAGTCCAATGAGTTGCAAATATTGTATGGTAGAGAAATTAACGTGTTGTTAGGGAGAAGCAGTGTGATCTTTGTTGTTGTTGTTGATGTTTGTTTATTGTTTATGAAAAAATAATTGAGCAATTGGGGGAAAAAGTTAACAACAATGCTCAGCATAGATTGTTGGTTGGTTTGGTTTTGTAGAGTGGGGAAAGAGGAGGAACACTGCATGGGATATATTTTAGCAGATGTCAGTAGCCAGCACCTTTTTCTAAAAGACTACAAAGCAAAACAGAACGGAATTTGAAATGTTTAGTTTTCAGGTCAAATTGCATTAATCTCAGAAAATATTTTGTCTGGTATAGAAAAGGAATGCTTAAGGATGAAAAAGAGGGCTTCCTTTCCAGTGTGCATGGTGGTTTGTTTGTAGCTAACTTTCTCTTTGATGCTCACTTGCATTACCTTGATGTCCTTAGGCTAGTTAGCACTTTGGAAAAAGATGGCTTGCCAATGCTTTTATGTGTCTTGTGAGAAGGTAATAACAGTTGTGAAGCTCAACTGAAATAGAGACTCGTGGGGAGGCCGCTGCATGGGAAGGAAAGTTGTGTGGAGTATTACTAGCTTTATTGTTAGGCTTTCCCAAAAGTTGCTCTGAAAACAGCTCGTGAAAATAACTTTTTCCGTTTTTCCTTTGCCTGAATATAAACTGTTTCAAATATAAAATCAGATGTTTATATTTTTTCCCCTCATTTCTGAAGTGTCAGTGATTGGGAAGAGAAGTAGGATGTTTTGCGGACCAGTAATGTGCACTGGCTGTACACATGTTCTCTGTAATTAGCCTTGCCTTGTTTTGGCTGAGAGTATTGCAGAGGCAACGTGGCTTTAATGTAAAAGTCACAGAATGGTTGAGGTAGTCAGGGACCTCTGAAGATCATCTAGTCCAACTCCCCTGCCGAGACGGATCACCTAGAGCACACTGCGCAGGATGGCCTCCAGGCGGGTTTTGGATATCTCCAGAGAAGGAGACTCCAAGTCGGGTGTAGGATGCTCAAGTCATTTGAGCATCTTGACCTTGAAGACCTGTGTTGGTACAAGGGTCTAACTCTGTTTCAGAAGCACATGTTTGAAAAATTGTGGTGTTTTTTTCCTCTTTCTTACTTGATTTTGCATCTCTTAACAAGCGAACAGATTCTTGCAACAGGCAGCACAAAGACTCTTCTCAGAGAAGGCTTTTCTCTCTACTCCCTATGTTTTTCAGCGGATCCCCAGTACAAAGAGGCTTTTAATTCATGGGATGATCCAGTAGCATTGTGACTTAGTCCCTAAGAAAGAACCTGAACAGAACGGTTGATTTTGCAACCAGGTTTATAGTTGATATTTATCTGAAAAGCGTCCTTCATGTCTTAAGTCCTTTCTAAACAGGGTGGTTTTTAATTACATGTTGCTCAAAGATGAAACAGGGATTAAGGGGTTAGGGAAGAAGAATGAATGTGAGGTATATACTGAGGACTTGAAACCTGTGGTCCAACTAAACAATCAAAGTATGAATCCTTATAGAAAGAGTACTTAGTATCTGGTTGCTCTGGCCAAATTAACTGACACCTTAACAGAAAGAAAAATAAAATATGGATTATTTCCTTTGGCCTCCCGTGGACTGCATGCACGTTTTTAGGGAACATCAGATTTCATGGCAAGTGTGCGTGTTTCTTTGAACTTAAAATGTTTTGGGACGTATAGGCAGAGAACCTAAACCAGGTTCATTAGTTGCTCAAGACCATCCTGCATACACAACTGAGGAGTAATGTAATTAAAACTAGACATTTCTTAATCCCAGGGTGCTATTGTCCAACCTTATATTACATAACCTTTGTACATTCGCCTCTAAGACTTCAGTTATTAGTGGCTGACTCTTTTGATAGCTTTCATAGTAAAAAATTGACAACACTGTAAAAAGCCCCGGTAAGTTTTATTACAGTTTTTAGCATTTTCTTCTACCTTTTATTTAGAATTCAGTGCTTCTAAAACTAATGAGCTTTTTGATGGATTCACATGAATGAGAACATCGAGTTTTACTTTGTTTTTTTCAGTCGTCATCTGACACGCTGTACTCTGTTTTTTTCCACTGCGGTAAATTCAGTAACTGGTTGATGAATGGTAGATGTACGTTCTATTAGTACATAATTTAGACACTGTTCCATTTGGAATTGGACTGCAATGGAGGCATTGATAATTTCCCAGTACATGTGTAGTTAGGAATCAGATGGCTTATTTGCTTTTATGCGTGTGGCTTGTAAAGTTTTGTGACTGTTCATGTTCTCTCACATTCTTGCTGTCTAACTTTGAATTTCCAGGGACCATCGTGTGTCTAGAGCCATTTAACTTTGCTCATGCGTATGAAATGTAACCCTGTGGTGGTTTTGGTCAAGTTTCAAAACGCAAAATGTAGCACAATAACAGTGTTATGAGTGATCCGAGATGACTTCAGGTGGAGGGAAGAAAAGTCAGTGCTGAATTTTTAGCTGTCAGTTACATTAACTGTGTTTTTTGAAGTGCAAGAAAAGCTGACAGTGTTTAGATCTGTCGTTGTGTTTGTTTTTCCAGCTGTTGTAAAGTTAAATAAAATACTGGCAGTGGTTTTCATGGCACCTTTGTAGGAGTAAAACCACTACTTAATAGTAAAAACTGTTTTCCTTGAGTACCACCAAAATGTGTTCTTTTGTATGGGACACGTGCATGTATAGAAGTGTAAGTATGTGCACAAAGTCATTCTTAGCAATTTTCTAATCCACAGGATGCATAAAACCTAGGCTGGGTGATGCTGGGTGCATGACCTTGAGTATGCCCGCAGACTCGGAGATCCAGTTCCTAGTTAATGTACTCTTGGAACTGGAAGCAAACAAAAATCCTAAAGCTAAAGGAAACTGCCTTTATCTTATCTAGATGAGCAATGAGAGTTTTCACCTCTGAGCACTTCCCTGCCGTAGAAACACTTTGTTTCCACGTCTGTCTGTCTTGCAGCTCCCATTGGTATGAGCGTGCAGATTCTTTGGAATAGAATTTTATAACATTTTTCCTACACTGATAAAAACGAGCAATGAGTGAGTTCTCATTGTTTTTCTAATACTTTCTCTCTTCAAGTGAAAGTGTATTCATATGGAGCAGAAATGCAATTTTGGTTATGGTGTGTAAATATAAGTGTAATACTACTTGGAAGAAAACTCCTGAAGCTTGTGTTTCCTAACACTGGGTAACGTCCATTAAATTGTATTATTTTTTGGGTAACCAGGTGTCAGTTTTGAGTGTGTGCTGTTTTTTGTTTTGTTTTGTTTTAATGGCATATTAACTAAATAGCCTGCAAACTTAGAAGTTGAAATAATTATTTATATGACAGCATAAGCAAGGTTCGAGGTACAATTCCAGAGGTCTACCTGTTCTCTAGTAGTTTTCTTCTATTGATGGAAGTCACATTTTCAGATCTATTGCTTTCTAAATCATTCTTCGTATGCATATTTTCAAGAAATAAATTTCAAATTCCATTACTAACTGGAAATCGCAATATTTTAGTCTGATTTCTTTTCCTCTTTACCCTCAGATATGCGTGATAAAATGAGGAAATGGAGGGAAGAAAACTACCGAAACAGTGAACAGATAGTGGATGTTGGAGAAGAGTTAATTAATGAATATGCCTCTAAGCTTGGAGATGACAGTAAGGAAACATTTTTTACAGCATTCATTGCTTTTAGATTTTATGCATTTGTCTAATTTTGTTTTTCTCTTTTCAGACTCTGTGTTATACCTCTGTGTTGCCTTTGTGTATCTGCTGGTGTTGCTAAAATATATATTAACTTTTTATTATATCAGGCTGCCAAAATCCCAGATTTGGTTTCCCAAATATGGGGTGCAGTGAAAACAGATGGAAAAATTACCTGCTAGAACACTTAGGTTGCTGTACTATGAGTTAGACCATTATGTGAAGTTGTTAGTCTTTCATGTAGCTGTCATTTGACTGATTTTCTGTTCTTCAACAGCACAGCAAACGTCTAAAAGGATAATTTTATAATAGAGAAAGCTGTTCCTTAATCAAATCATACATGCTGCAGAAATTAATATTAAGGCCATTTTTATTATATCATTATATTTGCGATATTACAGATGAAGATTAGCTCTACATCTCCACTATCCATGCAGTTATTATTTTTACATTATTTTAACTGCCTTATACTAACTTCATAGACAGGAGGAGACAGAAACTTGGCATGTGATGTTTCGTACTGCAAAAGAATTGTTTGGAAACATGTCACAACTGTATAATAGCACTCTGTACTGTAAGCATAATAGAAAACAAAGTATAACAAAGTGTCACACAGGCAGGTTTTTATTTTAATGCTCATTCTTTTTTCTTCATTTTCTCTTCTTTAAAGTTTAGATAATTTTATATAGACTTCATTTTAATACATTTTTATTTTAGTTCTTGATTTTTTCTTAATTGCTGTTGTGTAGAACCTAGTGGATTTTGCAGCCACAATAATGCAATGTATTTACTAATATAAGCTATAGTATTCTAATAACTTTGTTGAGCTTTAGTAAGTTAACTTTAAATTTGAATAGCTAACTGCATCCAGTGTTTCAGAATTCACACAGTTACATTAATGAAGCAAAATGTTTTCCTGAAGTATCAGGTGAGGCATTTTTTGGTGCTGGCTTTGTGGTTCTACAAGTAGACCTTGATGTCAGTACTTTACTCTGGTTCTGCCTTGCAGAGCCTCTGGGCAGTAATTCTGTTGTGAAGCTCACTCACTTCTCAGAAACTTAGTCACCAGTGTTATACTTTTTCAGGTATAAACGTGTGGATAATCTACCCAAAGAATCAATCATGTATTCATGTGTTACATGTATCATGTAAAAGACTTCATAGCAGTGAAGCATGAAGTGCGTTTGGAGGTTCGGTACCTGAAGACAATGTTCTGTGCTTGTCTTACACTGTAACTGATGAATGCACTTGCTGGTAGGCTGCAGGATAGGGTTAATACAGTGACCTGCAAAAGAATTGTTATCATGTCCCTCTACTATAGAAAAAAAAAAACACTTTGATTTTACTTTCTCATTACAATGTTGTTAATAATCTATGAGAATTGTAGTTTATTGAGCCATTATTGAAGATCTTGGTATTCCTCTAAGATCGTGGCATTCCTCTCAGATCTTAACAGTATCCTTCTGAAACACTGTCCTAAGTAACACAAGCAAAGTCAGAACTTGTCATTCCTTTCTTGTTAGTGTCAAATACAACCTTTTCATGATGTACGTATCTTATTGCTTCATAAACCTGACATTCAGAATTCGTTAGATTAAGTAGCTGCATTTTCTAAGTTTCTTAGCAAATGGATAAAACTATTTAAAATTTATGTACGTAATTGGGTTCCCTTTTTTTAAAAGTACTGTCAGAATGGCAACTTTGTGCAGTTTAAAAAACAAAACAGCAGCAGCAATGAGACCTATAGCTCACATAGAATTCTTTATTGGATAGCTATGAAAGGTGAATGAGTTGTATATGATGGATGTCTTGTTGCTTAATGTATTTTCAAAAAAAAACAACTGGATATCACAGTGTTTAATTCCAGAATGTGTACAGAAGGCAAAATAGTGAATGCAGTGGGATAGATTTATTTGGATATCCGTGTAACTTGGGTCCCCAGGCAGAAAGCATCCAATATAATTGGAAAAAAAAAATGAGGATTTTATCATTACTGTAGTTTTAAAAATAAAAATAGCTAACTGAATTTTGAGCCTAAAGGGTGAGGGTATAATTATCCACTTCGTAATTTTCATGAAAACTAGGGATTCACTTGGACACTCAGTAGACCAAATTTATAGAATCAGATTTCAAAGTAGAAGAGTAAGACCCTTGGCTTTGTGTTATTTTTTTTTAAGCTTAAGTAAGAAAGTTTTAATACAAGTTAGAAAAACACATACCTACCACTGAAATGGTTATTTCAGGCTCTTGCTACAAATGTTCTTTTGTGAAATACCTGACATTTACATGTATTAGGGATAGAACATCAAAGTAGAGGTTTGTTCTAGTGAGGAGAGCTGTTCATAAGCTGTAAAATTGATTTTTATTTTATTTCTTTAACTTAACACACAATTTAAATGCTGTATGTATGTTATCTGTATTTTGTATGTATGTATTTTTACGTTCATGAAAAGGTTATGTAATATGGTAAAAAGAGAATATATGCCCTACAGATTATTCCAACGGGGAAGAAAGGTTACAGACAACTTAATGCAGTCAGTATTTGCAGCATTACATGTTTCCTTCTGCCATAGCATGTTTCCTTCTGCCATAGCATGAGTTTCTGTCACTTGTGTAGCTGTATTGTTAAGTTCTGTACATTCAAGAACGCGGTAGACCTAGAACAGAATTACTATAATCTGTCATTGATTTAGAGACATTGTTCAACTCCAAAAGAAGATGACGGTATTTATAGGACTTCTGGCAGTGAAACAGTTAAGGAAAATTTGTTTTCATTCTAGCCCAAATGGCTGTTCTCCAGGTCTGATCAGAGAGCATGTCCTAATGGGGATCTGTTTAAAAGATTGCAGCTATAATGTTAGGAATAGCAGAGGATTAGAGCATTTTGCCTTTCAAGATGTCAAAAGGTACTTTATGTTACTGAAAGCAATAAAACTGCTTTAATGTGTTTTTAATTAATTCCAGCAGTTTCTTTAAATGTCCCTGTTTCAGTAGTGATCCACAGGAGTAGTAGGGGAAAGATGAACAGACAGAATTCATTAACCTTGTTTACACTGTAGGTGTTTCCCATAATCTTAAAAAACAAAAACAAATAGCAAAACACAACAACAATTATCTAAATTTCATGTCTCTTTTATGTCCAGTTTGGATAATATATGAACAGGTGATGATTGCTGCCCTGGACTGCAGTCGAGATGATTTGGCAATGGTAAGTTTTCATGTTGACTTTTCTCTCAAACCTTTGGTTTTCTTCCTGGGTATTTCTTCCAGATAGCTTTTTGGACAGTTATAGGATATTCTGAAGTTCATAGCTTAGACTTATAGAATATCAAGAAAAAGACTGCTGGGAAGAAACCACCTCCACCCACCTTCTCTCATGTGTGACTTTTGTTTAGACAGATCGTGTCTCTTCCAACAGCCCTGAAAATATTTACAGCTATTCTGGTATGGGCTAAATGTCAAGAATAATACTGAAGTTGCCATATTGCACAGAGTGTGTTTGTTTATTAAAAACCTCTCCGATTATATTGTTTCTTGAATGTTTTGAGGTAAAATGCCCTGTCACACACATCATATTATATGTCGTGCTGGCTATTCTTGCTGACAAAGTCACTGCCTTATTGGAGCAATCCCAGCAGATGGCCACCAAGATGAATAAGGAGCTGGACTTCATAATGTATACAGAAAAGCCGAGAGATGTATATTAAAGTCCTTAGAAGGTGAAGAGGAGATCTTATTGTGATCTTCAAATCTCTGCATATATAATATTTAGTGGGAAGTTATAAAGAAAGTAGAGACAGACTTGTAGAGGTGTATCAGCAGACAGCTGTGATAGACATATGCAGCAACAGAGGAAATTCCGATTTCCAGCATTAGGAAAAACCTTGTAACAATGAGGATGGTGAACACTTCAGGACACGTGGCACGGAGAAGCAGTATTTTTTCCTTCTTTGGAGATGCTCAGAAACATTGTGATGTGGCCTGAACCACCTTCTGTCTCTGTTATGAGTGGGGATTTAGCACAGGTGACCTCCAAAGGCCCTTTCTAATTCAAATTATAAAGTGGTTTTAATATAAATATTGGTAATGGGTATTTGGTTTTAATATTTTTGTATGCAAATTTATTTGAATTATACAAGTAGCAATTCAGATAAAATGAGCTTGTTTAGAAATCTTAACTAATGAAATTTGATGCCACCACCACCCCTAAAAAAACCAAATACCATGACTTTAGCCGCTCCTCTAAAGGCAGGAACTGAAAAAGGCAAAAAACTGCTTTGCAGTTGAATTTTTATAATATTTTCACACGTCCTTCACAAACAACTGAAAAAAAAATCATGGGCATGTCTTGTGCCTTGAAAGCCAACGACCTTGAGCTCATTCAAGTAAAAAGAAAGATCCTTTCAAAAGTTCAGGTCCTTCATGGGAATTTCTCTTCTAGTGCCTTATTCTCCCTCAGACAGCAAGACACCACATAAAGTCTTTGAGCTTCATGTGGTGTCATTTGGGTGAAATTTAATGGCCTGTGATATACAAGGGGTCAGACTAAAGGATGTAACTGGGAGAAGGGCAATTTGAAAGTAGGCAGAACTAGACAAGTTTATCTCATCTTTCATATGTGTATGGTAAAATGGAGTACACTGGAAAACACAGCACAACTCACTGAACTTGTTGTGAACCCACTGAACTTCCCTTTCTTTTGTGTCCCAAAAGAAAACATTTGTAGTATATAACTGTCTGTTTAAACAAAAACAAACAGACTTACTGTTTAAATAAATGTATTTCTGTGTTCTGATTTATATCTAAAACAGTTTTGGTCTTTATTTCCAGGGTCTTTTTAGGAAGACTTTCATGAAATTGTTGAGGCAGACAGTGTTGAAAGATCGGTTTTGAAACACTGTTTGTTTTTACTCACCCTGGAAGGGATTTTGAATTTCAGTTTCTGTGCCCTCTAAGGTATATTGCTCAAGATCATGGAGTGCAGCATTTTATATGCAGCTCAGAAAGGAGGTTAAAAGCTTAGAGGGAAACTGAGATACTTCTTTTCTTTGATTGATTTATAATAAGTAGTTAATTATAATTATAATAAGTAGTTAATTCAATCAAGCCAACATCATATGTGGCTTTCTGCTACAGCTGTAGCCCCACCGTAGACAAGCAGCTTTGAAACTTCTGTTTTTTAGAAAAGCTTTGGACAGCTGTGATGCATTTTGCTTAGGGGAATGGGTCTCATCTGCTCCAAATGAGGAGGCTGAGATGGATTGCACAAAATCATTTATCTGGCCTTTGTTTTGTTTTGTTTTCTTTTTATTATTGTTGTCTTCTTTGTCATGCATGTGATGACAATGTATAATGCATGCAGCTACTGCAATTACCTGCTTCTTTTTCAAGCATGTGCTTTAGGGAAACTACTTACTGCTGGCAGACACCTGCACTAGCCATGTTTTACATGCTGAAGTTCAAGTTTATATTTCTTTACTTTTGAAATTTATTCGGATAGAGGGCTTTTTTGTTTTGCTTTCAAAAGTATTGCAGCAAGTTTTTTGAGATTGTCTCACAGCTTTTCATGTCACATTATTGCTTCTGATGTCTTTCTTAATCTACACGAGTTTATTTTGGCCTTGTGGCTGCTGTATTTAGTTGGATAGTGATCCTGTTGTCAGTTCTAATATGAACAGTTCTAATTTCACAGTACTCCTGCGCTCCACTGCTACCTCATCAGCGTTTCTTACGCTGTTGATGTCTTTCTTCTAGATGCTAGTTTATCTGCTGATTGTGGGGCACAATCTGCTAATTTTTACCAATTTGCTTGACTGTCTGTGTTTTTTCCTTTAACCAGTGGATGTGATGATGGAACAGATTATGTGGATAGGCCTTAGCCAGAACCTTAGATCTCAGGAACAGGTTGATAAGCTCAGTTGCATAAATTAAATGCTTTGAAAAGAAGGTTTGTGTGTAAGCTTTTTATGTAATTCAAACCACTGGTCTTTTGAAGAGCTTGGGGTCTATTCTGTCTTTTACCAAAGAGTAATGAGTCACCTACAAACTTTGCACTGCTATCTAGCCACATTTCTATTATGGTTATAGTCAGTTTGCTCTGGGGAAGTTGTGACTCAGTCCCTCTACCAAACATCCTTTTTTTTTTTTTTTTTTTTTTTTTTTTTCTCCCCTAATCAAGAAGAGTCTGCTTGTGATTAATTTTATCTAGCCCAGGTGTCTCATTGATTTCAGGAGTTAGAAGTTGGCTAGGACTTAGAAGTCTGCCAGTGGGCTCAGTCCAACCCAGTGACAAACATTTTCTTTGGATTTCAAAGTTTTATTTAAAAAATAAACACAGAGCATAGTATTAGCATAGTTTGTTCCGTTATGAGGTATTCTTTTATTAAAGAATCATCACATGAGCTCTTACCATTTATCTTTTTTCTTTTTCAATTTCTTGTGGTATTATGAAGCAACTAAGTAGACTGCAGTGTTTAATAGTATCAGAACAGTTTTAGAAGATGAGTTTAATTTTCTGGGCAAATAACTATTTCCATGGAGTCTTGATGATTTAACAAACTATATGGAAAATATTTTTTAGAATTAGCCTTCTTACAGACAAAGTTTCGTTTACTGAACTTCTCTTTATCAATAATTTTTATTACATATTTCAAAAATTGGTATTTGCTTTTAATCATTGCAGGCTGCTGAATTCATCAGTCAAGGACTTTTTTCCTTTCCTGCTTCAGTATAGATAACTATGTTCACAATAGTATTTTTGATTTTTCTTTGTACAGTTTTGTCTTCAGGAACTAAGGAGGCAGTTTCCTGGGAGCCACAGAGTTAAGCGATTAACTGGAATGAGATTTGAAGCTATGGAAAGGTAAAACCTAGATTAAAAAAATATAATTTCTGTATGGAAAGGTGCATGCTATTTCTTAAAAAGGAATTCAGGCATCGTAAGCACATGGCAAAGCAATAATGACCATTTTCTTTAAAGAAAATAATGGTGTGCATGATCATATTATGTTTAGACATTTTTATTGCATTTTTGCCTGTACTATACAATGTTACATTTTTGCAATCTTTCATCAGATTTCATAGATTAAAAAGATCTATTACTTGACAGTTTAAGCTATTATACACTTAAACACTAGGCATTTTTTTGGCAAGGCCTGTGAGGTATACATTTCATCTTACGGGTTTGGAGCAGCATGTGAAAATGAGTGACAGCTCTTTCATTTATTTATTTATTTATTTATTTATTTATTTTTGCTTTGTTGTACTCCTAATTACTGCAAAATAGAGGTTTTGTTGTTTATTTGTTTTGAGTGTGAATAAATCCTGTAGAATTTAATAAGAATTAAATCTATAGACTTAATTAGAATTAGAAGCAATTAAAAAAAACCTCCACCAAACCTGGAATAGAATGGCAGAAACTTAGAGTGACCTTTTTGAAATATCCTATATAATGGTTATAACATGCAAAATTTAATAGGAATTACTAAAATAATGAACAGCTAAGAAGTTAGTTTTCTGAGATGAATGACCTCAAGGCTTGAGGTTGACCACTTTTGTCTGCCTTTCGCCTTTGATTATTTCCTTAATACCAACATGTTGTTCTCAGGCACTTGTTTTGGGTTTTGCAGAGTGCAGCTATAAGTATGCACAGGAGTTTTAACTTCCTGTGCCTTTGAACTCCAGCAAATCTATTCCATGTCACATTCTGCATACAGAATTAATGAGATTTTGAGCTTTTGGCCCATCTTGGTAAGAGAGAATTGGAATTTAAAAGTAAACTCCTAAATGCTTTATTATAGTTTATTTATTTAGCAGATGTTACTTGCAAAATGAACTTTGAAAATGCAATTTGATAGGAGCCACTAGTGAAGGTCCATTGCTTGGAACAAAAAGAGAGGATAACTGGGCTCTGCTGCCGTAGGAACAGTCATAGTGCAACTAAATGTTCCACATTTCATACTCCACATCTTCCTGAAGAATGTCCATTAAAACTTAGCTTTCTTTCTGCCTACAAGGGGAATGGCTAGACCAGATGATCTTGGAGATCTTTACAAACTTATGTTTGAAACATTCTGTTTCTATGAATACAGTGAGAGATTGGCAGCACATTTCTCCCCATTCCCAAAACCTCTCAAAAAGTGCAAAAGATCATAATTCTGTTCAGGCTTATGTGACTATGTTGAAGATGTTACTGTGTGGGAGTACATCTTTGTAAGAGATGGTAACTACAAAACATCGACTGTTGTTTCAGCTGTGAAGTGGGATTGAGCTGCAGTTTTCCAAAAATGCCTGTAAAAATTCTTGACAGAATGTTGCTGTCAGTTTAGATCCTTGAGACTGGACTATCAGGGCAAAGGTATTAAGAGAAGTCAAGGTTTCATCTCCATGGGTTTTCTTTAGAACTCAGAGGAGAAAGAGGGGCTTTAGTTCTAGGTTGTCTTGTACAGGAACCCATTTTTAGGTATTCTGAGCTGTGCCTGGGACTGCAAGGGAAGCCTAGGGAGGCCTAGACAGCAGTGACCTTGCGCTGTATAGGAGGAGTGCACTTAATTCTGAGTGACTCCAGGTGTTGTTAAGGTCTTGCCTTCCTCAGCAGAAAGAAGAGAAAGTGAGGAATGTCCTTCTAGCCATTGATCAAGAGAATACCGTTCTGTACGGGGCTAGCTAAACAAGCAAATTAAAGCTTAGATTTTTAAAATCATAACAGAAAAGACTTGTATGAAGTTTTAAATTATAATAATGAGATGAGAAGTCATTATTTTGGATGGCCTTTGAAGTTTTGGGGTTTCTACTTCTTACAAAAGGACAGGTAATAGTTGTGATGCAGTGATTGGACCTATTGGGTACAGAAGAAGAGAACAGACAAGAGAGTAAGACAGCTTTGGTGTAGAGCCTATAAGCTGTTGGTGAAACAGTATTCCATGAATGAATTGCCATTTATTTTGTTTTTAACTCGGTGATATAAAATAATGCAGTTCATATTCAGCACTCACTTAAGAGAAATTCTGCATGATTATAGTTTGCATAAAGATAGGATAGTCAGAAAGTCAAAGAGTTCTGTTCTGTCTTAACAGAAATAAATGTGAATGATTTCTTTGAACAGGTATGATGATGCTATACAGTTATATGATCGAATTTTACAAGAAGATTCAACTAATACAGTAAGTTCAAAAGATTTGAATTGCAGTGGTTTGTTTGATAACATTTTGATGGTCTCACTGTGGAGATTAGTTTGCCTGTATTTGTTTCCCTTAGTTTCCTAGTGTAATAACCTGGTATGTTATGTTTGTTAGAACAAATGAGATTCTCTTCAAGAAGAGAAGGTATGATTTAATCTTTTCTTTAACACTGAATTTTGAAGACATAGGATTATAACTGTTAACCTTTCCAGAAAGCTTAATAGGACTTATATTAGGCCTTTCAGCTTTTCCATTTTCTCTGAATATTTAGTATTTAAAGAATCAATATAGTCTACCATGTGTCCTCTGTCTTCCTAAAGCTTAATCTTACTTGAAGATTAAGTATGAATGCACTCAGGTAGTGCTTGAATACTAGAGTTACTTTGATTTATTATTTGGAATGCCTCATTAGCTTTTGAAACAAAATGCCATAAAGCTGGCCAGGTGTATAAAGCAAAATCTGAGACAAACTATTTTTTTTTTTTTAAGGATTTTTTCAGTATTGGTTGTGTAAGCCACCTTGAGTTATTACATGCCAAAATGAAAGGCTAACTTGTAGCTGTGTGTATTTAAACGACTTTTTTTTTTGTTTGTTTGTTTTTGTTTTTCCCAGCAAGGATAAAATTAGAAATATGAAGAAAATACAGAGTTTCGTAATTTTTATGTCACATGGTGCAATGTCAGTTAACAACTATTACTATTCATTGTCCATTTGAGGTATATGTTTGTCTGTGTTACATGGTTTTGAGGAACTGGACCTATGTTTGATAGACTTCTATGTAAATATAATCATATAATGCTTTGTCAGTCTCATCTAAACCTTCACTGGTGCTTTTTGCACCTCAGCCTGTCTGCACTTGGTTTACTTGATGTGGTCATCCAGATGGGCATTGCTCCTTTGAAGAAATCATTAAGACATGGCAATTTGTGGGAATCTAGGCTAGAATGTGCTCTCACATGGAGCACTGATGCAGGGCAGAAAGCTGAAACAATCATTCTCCATGCTTGTAAGTGAAGGGAGGGAAGAAGCTTTGGAAAAGATTGTATAATCATTTAAGTTGCTACTTCATGGAACTCGAATATAAGGCACTTAAAACACTGTGAGAACAAGGAGTGTTGTGGTCTTACACCCAATACTCTAGTGTTGATATATAAAATACTTCCCTGACATATCTGAGTTCTCCTTTCAGATGACTTTTGAGGGAGGATTTTGGAACAAATGTTTTATCTGATATTATATGCCTGTAATTTCCAGGCTAGCTTATGGCAGGTTTATAAACGCTTGTATTTTTGCTTTCCCTTTAGAGAGTTCTGCAAATGTTTGATAAATCCAGATGACTGGTGCAGGTTTTAGGGAATATGTATTTTGGCAAGGTGCTGGTCACTACCTCTGCTCTTAGAGGAGATGGCAGATATCCTAAATGCAGCTAGCTAAAATGATGTCTGACAGGCTGTTCTGGGTTGTGTGAAAGGGTCATTCATCTCCTCGGGTTCCTGTAAATCGCTGGAGTTCTGGATCAGGGTAAAGTTTTCAAAGTCGATGAAAGTACCTTAAAGCTGCTGACTTCTTAATTTTAAAAGTGATTTAGGTAGGGGCTTACACTGTTGAAAACTATAACTATCTTTGCAATGTCTGTCTTCCTTGAAAGAATATAAAGCTATTTATTGAGGAAAAATTAAAAAGGTTACCTTTAGCTATTTCTGATTGCAACCTCATTGAAATGTTATCTATGAGGAGTAAAATTTGGAAGTGACTTACTGAACTGAGAAGATTGTCAGGGATAGTAATGGGTAAATGTTTTGACCTTCATCATATAAATGATTACGTTCAAAACAAGTGCTTTTTTCCTCCATGCTTTGTCTTAGGAAAGAAACAATGAAGCCTGAGTTATTTTTACTTCTCTAGAATCCATATCAGGAAGGGGAATTTCCTCAAGCAACTCCATCACAACAGATGATGATTTTCCATTAAATGTTCTTGCTCAGGCTGCAACCAGACCTCATTGCTTGTGCCCTTATTGACTAGGGTTGCCCTCAAAGATTAATTGAAACCCGAAAAGATTTACCCCACTTCTTCCCCTCTTTTGCAACGGAGGGCTCTGTCTGGGCAGCAGGAGGGAGATGTGATTTATGAAACCACGGCAGTTTTATTTTCAAGTTTATGTTGTTTGTTCTCTTCAATGCCTGGGGGTCACACTTTCCATCAGGATGTCTCTGAAGTGCCCCAATGGCCCCACCAGGACGGTGCTTTGTGCCTGAGAGCGCAGGTACCAAGCATGAGCCAGGCAAGCTGGTGCTCTATACAGACAGCCACCGCAGGAGCTTGCAGCGACACAAGGACTGAGCTGCAAGGAAGGGAGCGTGCTCCTCTGACAGCAGCAGTCCCACCAGATGGTGGGACAAAAAGAAATTCAGTCTAAGCACTGTAGAGCCCTGTCAGAGTGTTTTGTGGTCAAAGAAGGAACAAATTGCTGAAAGAGGGAGCAAACTGGTTTCCAGACCCACTCCTGCAGACTCTGGTCTCAGATTAGGACACTTAATCTCCTTTGAAATTCTCTTGGTGCCAGCACCTGAAGAAGCGGAGGCTGGTGCACTCACTCCTTCTGCAAAAGGCAGAGCCCCCCGACGTTTCCCCAAGAAGGACAGAAAAAAGCAGCCAATGAGGTTGTGAATCAGAAGCTTTATTTGATCAAGGTTTTAGAGACGTGGGGTGGGGTGGCACAGAGGTGTGCAGAGGTCTCTTCGTCCACAGCTGCGGGGCCCGTTGGTGTGCTTGTAGGACCATGGCCGGGTAGGGACGGGATCCTTGTGTGCTTCCTGCTCCTTTGGTGGCCGTGGTTGTAGAACGCTGCCCCAGTCTTCAGGTCAGTGGCCGTGGAGGGAGAGGATGGTGGCAGACGTTGGTGTGCTCGGAGCTCTGTGATGGGGAGAGAAAGGAAAATGATCAAAAAGAGCAGCCCCAGCCTGTTGCCAGGGTCAGCCCCTGTGTCCCTGGGAGAGGCTCTGTGAGTCTGACAGCAAGGCCGTCCATCCCGGGTCTCCCTCATGGCCAGGAGTCAGCCGTGTTGGGCCAGGCCCATCACCTTCCCGCAGGCAGTGAGGCTGTGGTGGGGAAAGGGCTGGGGCAATCTTATCTGTCCTGGAGAGCGGGGCAAGTTCTCCGTTGGAGTGCTGGAAGAGAGAGTCCAGGGGTGTGCCATGGCTTCATTCCCTCACTGTCAGTGTGTCCAGCTGTAACAGAGGAGGTGACAAACAGAGCAGCCACCCCCTGCCAGCACTGGAAGCCATCCCTTCCCCCCTGTGCGAGGCTCTCCCAGCCTCACAACAGTGCCGTTCATCTGATGTCTCTGTGACAGCCAGGAGATGACGATCATAGCCCAACCACGTCATCGTCTGGCATGCTGTGAGACTGTGGTGGGGTGTGGGTTGGGGGTCGTTTATCTGTCCTGTAGAGCGTTGGCAGCTCTCCCTTCCAGCTGAGTTCTCTAGCTGTGTTTCTGGCTGAAAGAGAAGCACCAAAGGGAGCAGCATCCCCTGTGACCACGGGCAGCCCCTGCCTCTATGCCCAAGAGTCTCTAGCGTCTCACCGAGGCTGGCCGTGTCCCGTCATCCTGATGGAGTGATCACTGCCGTCCTGGCCCGAGCGTGTCACTGTCCTGCTTACTATGAGACTGTGGTGGGTTTGGGTTGGGGCAATCTTACCTGTCTGGAGAATGTTGACACATTTCCAGCTGACATCTCAAAGGGAGAGGCCAGGAGTCTGCCGTGGTCTGGTCCCATCACCGTCTGTGTCTGGCTTTAATAAAAGAAGGAACAGAGCAGCATCCCCCTGTGTACACGGGCTGCCCCTGCCTCTGTGCCCGAGGGTCTCAAGCATCTCACCACATCCTTCTGTCTCCCATCATCCTGGTGGAGCCGTCACTCCCGTCCTGGCCCAATTCTGTCACCTTCCTGCTTTCTGTTAGAGCCTGGCGGGTGTGGGTTGAGGCGATCTTACCTGTCCTGGAGTGTGTTGACAGCTCTTCCTTCCAGCTGAGTGGTTGAGGGCAGTGAGGCCAGGTTGTGCCGTGGTCTGGTCCCATTGCTGTGTGTGTTTCCAGCTCTAAGAGAGAAAGCCAAAGGGCAGCAGCCTTCCCCTGTGGCCAGGAGCAGCCCCTGTCTCCCATCCTAAGGCTCTCCCAGCCTCACAACAGTACCGTCCATCCAGTTTCTCCCTGTGGGCCAAGAATTATCCATGTTTTACCAACTCCACAGGCCTTGTGATCATGGTGGGGAATAGGTTGGGGTAGCTTATCTGTCCTGTAGAGCGTTGATACATTTTCCAGCTGAGGTCTCAAGGGGAGAGAGGCCAGGAGTGTGCCGTGGTCTGGTCCCATCGCTGTGTGTTTCTGGCTTTAAGAAGAGAAGGAACAAACAGAGCAGCACACCCCCCTGTGACCACGGGCAGCGCCTGCCTCTGTGCCCGAAGGTTTTGAGCGTCTCACCACGTCCGTCTGTCTCCTGTCATCCTGATGGAGCGGTCACTGCTGTCCCCGCCTGGTCGTGTCACCTTCCTACTTGGTGTTAGAGCCTGGTGGGTGTGGGTTGGGGCAATCTTACCTGTCCTGTAGAGTGTTGACAGCTCTTCCTTCCAGCTGAGTTCTCAATGGGAAAGCAGTCAGGACTGTGCCGTGGTCTGGTCCAAATGCTGTGTAATTCTGGCTGAAGGAGGAGAAGCACCAAAGGGAGCAGCATCCCCTGTGACCACAGGCAGCACCTGCCTCTGTGCACAAGGGTCTCTAGCGACTCACCGAGGCTGGCCGTGTCCTGTCCTCCTGATGGAGCCATCACTCCCATCCTGGCCTGATTCTGTCACCTTGCTGTGGACTGTGGTGGGGCGCGGGTTGGGGCGATCTTACCTGTCCTGTAGGGCGTGAAGAAATGCCCGGCACAGTGCTGGAAAGGAGCGGCCAGGAGCGTGCCATGGTTTAGTTCGCTCAGTG